ATGGGGCTTTCCAATCTGTGAACCTGATTTATTTTCTTCAGTAAGAGAAAAGACGTAAGTCCTTTGAGCAAAGTATGCCTGATATACATCACGATATTTATTTTTTGGTGGAGTAATGGATCAGTCTTCGGGAAAAGCTAGAGAAAAGGCATTTCTTGAGCTCAGATGTAAATCAGTCACTCTGAAAACTGCAGGGTAATCTATGTGCTTACCCCCCTGCTAACTAAAGTGTGAAATAAGCAGCTGACTTTTAAAAGTCATTGTACTATTTGTTTCTAAAGCTAACACTAAAAACAGAGTTAAGGATGTGAGGCCTGAGAAGCAATTGCTCTTGGAATGCCTGCACCAAGTCCCTAAAATTATGGTGCAGCTCACAATGAAAGCAGAGATCCACCCAACCTGTGGGTGTTAAGTCATACACCTGGTGGGGACAAGGTCTAAGCTTTGGTCTACTTGCAGTGCTCAGTTCTAAGGAAGAAGAATGAAGTGTATAGCTGGGCTTATGACGTAAGGGTCTCCCAAGGGACCTGTCTGGTTAATATAGGGCAATCTTCCTGTCTATATGAAATGTATCATAGAGCAGGACAAGAGAGAAACGGAAGGACAAGGGGGAAATATCTTCACTGGATTTTCAACTGAAACAGAGCTCTTCAAAGGAAAGCTATTTAAATCTGAGGTGTTCCTAATATTAATTATCCTGAACATCTCACAGCCTCAGATTCACATGCTACAAAGAACACAAAGCCTTTTAATTTTTCTACCTGTCCCTGGGACTAGCAGTGATAAATCAGATATACAGAGAAACCACACATGACTAACGAACCAGCCCATTAATGGGGAGCAAAGATCATTTGCCAAGATGACTTATTCAGACATACTCACATATCACAATGAGCAATATCCTGGAGGCTTAACACAGCAGACATGGAAGGCAAGAGCTGGGGCACTCCCTGCCAAGTCTCAGAGACTCCAGAGTGATTCGGGCATCCTCCAGATGCCTGCTATCCAGGCATGAAAGATTTTACTCACGGCTGCCACCTCTCCAGTCCCTTTAAGTTAGACTTGCACTTGGAAAATTACTGCAACTTCTAAAAGGCTTCTTGGGTCACAGAGCCAAGCCCCCAAACCTTGCTGTGGCCCCTACTCTATGACTCTTAGATTCCATGTACCCTCAGGAAGAAGACCCAGCTTCTGCCACCAGTAACCTTAACTGTTAGTTTATAGATCTTTCCTGTAGCCACTCTGGGCTCCAACTAAGTATCTGGGCTCCAACTAAGTGTCATATCCTATTCTAGGTGCTTGGGCAGATCCGTAAACAAAACAGCAAACAGGTGGGAGCGAGGGAGAGAAAAGGCTCCCCTAAATGCCAGTCTCTTCATTTTACCACGAAAACTGAGGCCCAGTGATAAACAGGAATTTTCCCCTGAGGCCAAGGTTGATGGCATGGCTAGGACTTGAACCCAGGTTAGACACTCAGGGCGGCTGCCACATACAGTGGTGCATAAGGGCACTGGGCAGAGGGGACGGGGATGGGGGTAAAATTCAATCCACATTGTTCCTATGGGCTAGGGGCAGCCCCACTCCAGTGCTATGTTCTCACAGCCCTACTCTGCCCAATTCCCTTTAACAAAAGCTCCCTTCACTGAAGGGACAACTGAGGTGCTCCAGATCAGCAACCAACCATCATTAGTAGGACACAACATAGGTTGAAACCTTTCACTGGGATGTAACCCTGACAAGCTATTCACTCCCAACTCTTGTCATGTGTAAGAAAAGTCTATTGAACTTGAAGAGAAACCCACCTATGACCAAGGTCCCCTAAAATAATTATAACAATAATTTCCTATATAATCATCAGATCTGAAAGGAAAGGCTGCTAGCAAGCTGTTTCTCACTCTCACCAACCCCTTTACTCTCCACGATCCCAAGAGGAGGATCTGTCACTGTTCAATCCCATCTTTAAAATTCAATATGGGTGAGAGGAATACTTAACTTAATCAACTATGTGAATATCTACTCTTGACTAGGTGCTAGGGATACAACAGTGAACACCATCACCATCATCAACAACAACACAACATTTTCCCTTACTTCATGGAACTAAGACATGCCGAAAACAGCTGGGAAAAGCCCAGCTGCTAAGGAGTCCCTGGCCAGACTGGCAGTCTACTTAGGGGCCAGGTCTGGAAGCAAGAGTTTGTGACCAGCCTCTTCCCCCCTCTCTCATCCCATTTTACAGAAGGAAAAATAAAGCCCAGGAAGGAGAGGAGGTGGCTTGTCCAAAGTCAGACAGTTGAGCTGAGACTCGAATCAATGTCCTCCGGGTTCCCCTTTCCACCACACTGCCTCCTCCAAGGTTCCAAAATTGCGAACTGAGGAGAAAATGTTGGTTCTAGTGACAGATTGTTTCCTGATGTGTCTACACCGAGAACATGCAGCTTCAGCCCATCTTATCAGCAGAGACCTTGAGCCCATGTCCATCTCTCAAACTAGAATGTTCATAAGTATGCTTCATTGATCTAGAGCCCAAGTGTCCAGTCTTTATTCACTCTCATTTATCACCCTCTCTGAATCTCTCTTGAAGTTTACTTTCGCTTTAAAAACCTCATCTTATAAGAACAGAGCCCTTTTTATCTGATGCTAGCTGTCCCTCTGCTCCTGAGGTCTAATCAATCCACGTCTGGAAAAAAAACAAGCCAGAGAGGAAAGCAACAGTCCCTTTTATGAAAACAGGCACCTTTCTAAAATGATCTACCCGTGGGCATGGCACAGATAGAAATTTAAATGAGAAGGAAATAAAGACATCCTCCAGCAATTGTCAACTGCATTCCTCATCAGGTGGGACACCAGGGAAGTTAACTGTGTGTTAACAGCTAAAACAAACACTCTGCCCCACATTTTTTCAGGTTGTTTGGGGAGCGGGGGAGGTCCAAACTCAAGAAGCCTGAAGAGAAAATGGGCTTCAAAATATAATAAGTGTATATAGTCCCGTCCCGTCCATTCTGAGGAGCTTAAGGTCTTCAAGATAGTAAGAGGGGGCTCACTGAACAACTGCAGGTATAGACAAGCAGGCTTCCAGCTACTACCAGGGGTGTACAGCGATGCCAGATAGAAAGATCCAGACATCTGGCAACCAACACAGACCTCCACCCACTGTGTTACTTTACATCCACCTGCAAAGAAGAGTCTCCACACCTCCCACCACCCCCAGCCTCTGCCCACAAGAGAGGTTCTCTTTGTATTGAGGGGCAGAACCTGGTCCCCCACTAGACAGCCCACCCTCCTTCCCACATGGCTCCCAACCGCAGGCTCTCAGAAATGGGTTCCATATCTAGATGCAAATGCAGAAAGCACCTTTTGAAGAGGGCAGCAAGTAACTCTTAATCCTTTGGGGCAGCCTTTTAAAGATCTGATGGCAGCTCTCCACCCCGTGAAAAACTGCATGCATATAGTTTATACGTAATTTCACTGCGGGTTACTGCCCTCCAAGGAGGTCTGAAAGGGTTAATGTTTTCAGAGGCAGCTTTAGGAAAGGGAGCTGGGGTGGTTCAGGTGAGTATTCAACAACACAGCTCCTTAACCAGTGGGGGAGAAATGATGCCCCTTTCTTAGCTACTGCAAGTTCCAGGCTTCAATTAACCTTTGGGATTTCAACAAGAATTTGGAAACTGAGAGTGTGTGCTTGCACACGGGAAACAAGGACTCATCTTTGTGGTTTCCTATACTGACATCACAAAATGTCCAGTGACTGCTAGTTAAGATAGAGTCTCCACAGGGCTTAGCATAGAAGGCTGAGTAACAACAGCAGAGATAAGTAGGGAGAGGTGAGCGTTGGGAGACAGGATACACTGGACAAGGAGAGGAGGACAGCTAAGCTCTCCACTGGCTCTAAGCAGGTCTTGACAGGGCAGGTCCTGACTCTTGCTGCCTGCTCTCCCTGGAAATCAGGGCAGACTTGCTGACTGCTCTGCAGCAAACCAAGAAGTCCAGACAGAAGCAGTCCTTTCATTCTGGGTCCACCGGGATGGGGGGAGCATCCTCTCCTTTCTAGGGAGGAGACCCTGGCCCACTGCTTGCCCACAGCCCCCTCGTGGCCCGGGGGTGTCACTGCAGCCCCCTCTGCAGTGCTGGGCAAAAACCTCGCGCAGGCGGCTCCAACAGTAGGCAGCTCTAACAGGGGTTGAGCAGAACATTTAGTTATCAGTGGTGGCTTGGCAACTGTCTTCAAGCCACGGTGAGGCTGCGTTTGCTTTTGGTTTCTTAAATTAAGACTAAGATTCAGACTCAAAGTGATCCTTCTAACCCCTCTCTGGTACAATCCCTACAGGGAACAAGTCCAAGACCTGCTACATTAAGCCAATAACCTCAGAGCTTCTGTAACATTACCAACGCCTTAGGGATCATTGCTCCTTGCATCACATGCAATTACGTACAGCTGTTCCAAAGCTCAATAGAAACAGTTAGCAAGAATGCACAACATCCTCTGGCTTGTAGGTTGCTGGCTAGACTACAAAATACTTGCAGGTCACCAAATACCCCCCAAATCCTGGCTTTCCAGGTAGCAGATCCTAAAGGGGGTTGGGAGATGTCACGATTTAAAGACACACATTGAGAAACAACATGGCTCTTGGTCCCTTCAAACAGAAAGGGTGTCCATTAATGAGCCTAACTAGCAACTCCACAAAAATCTTATTAACATCTCCACAAAGGGAGGGAGCAGGCCCCACCTGGGCTGAGGACTGGACTGGAAAGACCAGAGTCTGGGGGTGGGGGAAAGTTGGTCCAGTGGTTCAGCTACCATCGGGGGTGGGGATGATTAACTGAACCCGGTAGTGGAAAATGGTGCAGGCAGGAGTGAAGGTGGGAAGTTTGGGAGGAGGGTATAGAGTGTGCCTGGAGGACCTAGAGTAGACCAGGGAGCCCGGGAGTGACTGGGCCCAGGGGAAATGGATGGAAGCACAAGACGGTCTTTTCTTTTGTGTGGGGAGAAGAGTCCTTACCTCCTTGATTTTCTCCCGCTGGCTTTGAACTAGGCTCTGGGGCTCCTTACTCTTGTCGGCCCTAGTGCCCAGGACCGGGTGGCGGAGGCGGCTTCGGAAGGCGTTGAAGTCAAAGCTAGAGGAGATGCTCCCCTCCTGCGGTCTGAGGGCCGTGGCGCTGCTGCCCCGGGCCGCCGTGGCCTCCTCCCGCGGCCCGGTGGGGCGGGTGCGCCGCAGCCACCCTTTCCTGCGGCGGGGGCTGGCTTGGCTCCTGGGGTCGTCCTCACCCGGGGCTGGAGCCGCGGGGGCCGGGTTCGGAGGCGACTCCTGCTCGCGGGTCAGGGGGTGGCCGGCGACTTGGGCCACTGCCTCCAGGCCGGGCTGCTGGGTCCGGGGGGCCAGGAAGAGGCGCTTGAGGCGAGAGGAGTTGGGCAGCAGGAACAGGGCCCCGAAGCACAGGGTGACGAGGCCGGAGAGGAAGAGAAGGAAAAGGAACTTCTGCGGCAGCCGCAGCCCCCACGGGGAGGCCGGGACGAAGCCGGGCACTTTCCTCATGAGCATCGTTGCCGGGCACGGGGCTGGGGACAGTCAGTTCCGGCCGGGCCCCTGAGGCCCTGAGAGTCCAGGCACTTGTCAGCAGGGGGTTCGGCGAGGGGAGGTCGTCGAGGGGCGCCGCCCGGGGTGGGGGCCCCTGAGAGTTTCGCCCTGCGGGGGCTGCTCCTAAAGTTCAGGGAGTTTGGAGCGAGTCCTCCTGCGCCGGGACGGGGGAGCAGCGGCCTCGGCGGGGCCCGGGCGAGCGAGGCGGCACGGCTCGGGGCCCGGGCCCGCAGGGGTCAACCGCGCGCCGCAGCCTTCCCTCCGGCCGCCGCGCGGCCCCTCCTCGCAGCGGCCGGAGCCCGCGGGGCCCGCGGTTTCCCGCGCTGCGGCGGCCGCCGGGGCCGTCACATGCCGTCCGCGGCGCCCAGGCTGTCGGCGCGGAGAGGCGCACGCAGGCCTCGTCCCCGCTCCGAGCCGCCCTCAGCCCCTCGGCCCAAAGTTTTAGATTCAGAAGCAGTTTCCAGAGGGGGTCGGCTCCGGGGGAGAGGTGGCGGCGGGGCCGGCGTGTCAGCTGCGCTCCGAGAGCGCGCCGGCCCGGCCGGGTCGCGACAGTGCCGGGGCTTGGCTATAGGGACACGTCTACAACTTTGCTCCGCCGCAGAGCGGGCGCCGGGGAGAGAGGGCAGGCACTTCTGAGCTTGCGGAGCAGGGTCTTCCCGGGCCCCCGGGAGCGGAGGGATGCCGGGCCCCCTGTCTGGAGCCCGGCGCCTTTCGCGACCAGCCGCAGCGGGGCGGCTGCAGCTGCGCCCGGGAGTGCGGGCTCCCGTCCAGCCAACTCGGTAGGGCTCCGGGTTCCTGCTGGGATCACCTGTTCCTGGTCCCCGCCGGCTCCGCGGAGCGCGCAGTCCCGGCTGCGCCTCCCCAGCCGCAGCTAGCGTCCTCACCGCGGCCGCTCCAGACGGGCCGCTGCCGCCGTAGACTGAGCCGCCGCGCCGCCGCCGCCGCTGCCGAGCCTGCGCCCCACAGGCGCGCACACCACCCGGACGCCCCCGCCGCTACCGCGGTAGCTCGGGTTTTCACTGAGACAGCACCCGCGGCCCCGCCTCCCGCCGGGCCCCGCCTTCGGGCCACGCCCACTGCGCGCCCCGTGGTCCACCTCCGCCGCGACGCCGTAGCCAGGCCAATGGCCTCGCGGCTGGGGTAGGGGGTGCGGGGGCCTAAGCCCGGGTGGGGCGAGGAGCTGGGACTCCAAGCCACGCCCCCTCCCTCGAAGGGCCAGCGCCGCGCACACTCCCCCCATCCCACCAGCACCAATGGTCCAGCTGCGCGGGGTTGGCGGGGGTGGAGAGAGGAGCGAGGTCATTGGCTGCCTCGGAGGGATCCCCGTTGGGCCGCAGTCGCCCATTGGTTAGTGCCCAGCATTCGCTGGACTGGGAGCAACCGAGACGTCCCCTGTACCCCCAACCCTCGCCGCTCCGGTTGTTGGTCCCCTGGAGGGGGCAGGATATCCAGCTGGTCTGGAGGGCTCTGGCGGTCGTTCGGTAACCTCACTCACCCCTCAGTGCCAGTCCAGGATTGGCAGGGGGCGGGGGCCTGCCCAGCGGTCCCGAGGGCTTCCGCGGGAGCCGCGGTGGTGCTGCTGTGGCACGCTGAGGACGGGCTGGGCCTGGCTAAGGCAGTGTTTCCACTGCACCCCCCGCAGACCACAGCTCTGCCTTCCTTTGCCTACGGGCCCCAAACCAGGCCGGGGCCCCTGGGTGGGACAGGGAGGGATGCTAAGCACAGCGGTGCGAGTGCAAGGAAGGAGAAGGAACCTTGGTCGTGTGCGTAGAAGACCACACACAGCATGTGACATGCGTACCCAGATGCCTGCGTGTTTATGTGCACATGTGTGCTTCTATGCGTAGCTCCAGATGCACTCAGGGACTGCATGTGGGTGTGTACCTGCACACAAACATACACTTAATTTAGGTATGTGATTATACCAAAGCACTTAATTTAGGTATAAGTGATTATACCAAAGCACATGTAATACATATTAGTACAAATATTGACATGTACACACATACCCACAGACACACAACAGATAGGTCCAAACACACGTACACACTGCCAGGCGTATATTCCCAGACACAGATGTGCCTCGACCTCAAGGCCCTCACACTTTCCTCCTCGGACTCAAGTCTCTCTGTGCCTTCCCCTCCTATTAAACCCAAGGCAAAGAAACATTGTGCTGTGTGGGTCTTTCACGCAAAACACTTTATAGAGACAAATAACAGCAGAGGGAGAGACAAATTAAGAGGTGTAATAGGCAAGAGGGAAAATATCTGCTTTCAGCTGCAATTTAAAATGAAATGCAGCGTTGATGAGACAGAAAATACTGCAGGGAGGCCTTTCCGACAGAAGAAGCGGCCCAGACAGGCTCTCCTAAATCTTGCTTATTCCCTGAGGCCTGTTACCCTTGGCCGTTGGGACTCAGACATCCTTCTGCCTCTGGCCAGGCCACTGACAGCAGACCCTCCCCTGATGTTTAAATACCCTTGGCATGTAAATTTCTTTCAATTGAGAATAAAAGATAGCTCTGGGTAACAGGTGCAAATATTTTGGTCACTGGCGATGACTAGTCCCTCCCAACCCCACAAGCACACCTGGCTTAAATGTAAAATTCTGATTTAGATGTTTCAGTCTCTCCCGAGTTTGATTGGCAGCACTCAGTTCCCTGAAACCAGCTGTGAACATCAGAGACAAGCATGTGGTCCACTTGGGTGCAGGAGCCCAGAGACCTGGTCTGGCTTCTTCCAATCTCCAACGCCCAAGAATCTCCCTACCGGAACCCATCTTGGGAAGGGGGAGGCTTGTCTTTGGAGAACTAGGCAGGAGCCCAGCAGGCATTGGAGGCACCGCACATCATTCCACATGGAGAGTGTAGGGGAATCACTGTTCAGTCCCCTGAGAAGGGAGGACCCAGGAGAAGGGGAGGAAGGCAAGGCAGAGTCTCAGAAGGCTGTATCTGTTTGAACTGGATCCTCGCTGTGATTGTGACACCCAGACCAGTCTCTGGATTGCTGGTGAGCCAGGGTAGAAAGTGAGGCTGCATCAGGATTCCACAGATTCAGCCTACAAAAACCAGAGCCCAGAGGGGACAACTCTATTTCAAACTGATGTCATGTTGGTGATTACACCAAGCTGGTGGTACCATAACCTTTTATAATCTCCCTAGCAAGCTCACTGAAACTCTGGAGCTCCCATCCCACCCCCATACCCCTAACCCCCATAGATTTCACACACATTATGTCTCTTCTCTCACTGGATTTTTATTATTCATATACTGTCCCACAGCAAACTTAGATCCTCATGGCAGAGACCATAGCTCGTTCACTTCTCTAACTGCCCTAGGTCTTAACAACAATGCCTCACATATGGGCACTGTTTGTTGAGTAATGAATGAATAAATGTGGGAGTGGATGCCCATTTCACAGATGAGGAAACCAAGGCTCAGGGAAGGGACTAATAATGAACCAACATTTTCAATGTGCTGAATACATATTGCTTCATTTACTTTTCAGAACACTCTTATGAGGTAGATATTATTAATAGCCTCATTTTACAAATAAAAATACTAAGGCTAGAGAGATTCAGGATAAATTAACAAGTATCTTTCTCAGTTCAGTTCAGACACTTAAGTGGGACTGGGAACAGAAATGAATAGCATTTTAAAAATCTATTCTGTCAACAAACATTTACTGAAATTAGATACTAGGTATTGCACTAGTCTCGGGTTGGTCAAAGATGAGCAAAGCATGGTCCCTGTCATTATTGATTCATTCACTCAGTAAAGAACTACTTGTTGAACACCTACTATGTGCCAGGTACAGAGGGGCTGGGGAAAACAGCCCTGAATAAGGCAGATGTGAAGCCTAACTTCAGGGGGCTTCTTGTCTAAGAGGCAACGGGGACCAATTCAACCCATCAGGAAGGGAACTACCATGCACTGGGCACTGTGCTGAGTGCTTTGTTCTCATCCTATCTACTCTCACAATGGCCTTCTCTGAAGTAGGCTTTGAGATCCCAACTTAACAGATGGGGAAACTCAGGCTCAGGGGTGTGACATGACTTGTCCACCCAGGGAATAATTTGCAAATATGAGAGAAAACCAGACTCATCTAGTCCCAGAATTAATGCCCTTTCTGTTAATGATACAAATAGTAACTAAGATTAATGGGACACACACTATGTGCCAAACCCTTATAACAGAATTTGTAGAAGCATCCCTTTGTAAGGGATGGCCCTTACAACCATCCCATGAGACAGGTACTATTATTACTGGCATTTTATAGAAGAGGAAACTAAAGCACAGAGATGTTAAGGATCTTACCCAATGTCACACAGCTGGGAAGTGGCAGAGGGGGGATTTGAATCCAGTTGGTCAGGCTCCAGAGCCCTTCATGTCTTTCAGCGTCTATTGCTCCCCATCATATAATGACAAGAGAGCAGGTGCTGTAGGAAGTCAGAGCAGGGAAA